TCACATCAAAAGTTCTGCAAAACAAAAGATGATAAGAATATTTTACTTTATCAAATAATCAATAAAAATACACAAACAAACAAAAGTTATCAAGAAGAAAAAGAAAATAAAATTGAAATCAAAATGGAGACGGATGGAGTATATATACATTATATGAAGTACTATTTATGTAAATTTAAAATTTAGAGACTTATCATCTTATTCTTAATCATAAATTTATTATGTTTAGATAATATTTTTGACGTGCATCATAGAAATTAGAATCTAATTTTCTACTCCCTCCGTCCCGGAGTATTCATCCAGTTTTGACTTTTGGAACTATTCATCTAAGCATTTTGACTCATCAAATTCTCTCAATGTGTAAGCCTAGATATAGTCATGTGTGATCTTGTTTGGTTTGTCTTAACATATAGATTATTAATATATAATTTCTATAATTTTTTAATATACAAATTACAAGATAAAATGGATTAAAGAAGTGTATTAGATGATGTGTAAAAATGAAAGTGGACAAATACTAGGGGACGAAAGTAGTATAAGATATAGTAGTGGTACTATAATGGAAAATTTTTATGAACCTCTTTTGAAAATGGGTGTTGGGCGGTTGCTTTGGGCTCCCACGGCCGGCTATTTACAGCTAAACCATATTATTTCGCGACGATCAATTTCTTTTATTATTGTTATTACGGTTGTTTGGTTAACCAAAATGTTGAAATTTCTCAGGTTGGATATGAAAGTGACACATTCCCCCGAGAATTATTCTACCCATTCCTCCTATAGTTGATTATTCTCTTAAGTATGTGCAAAATTTGATGTCTTTTAAACTAATTTTTTTAGAAATTGTTATAGCAATGAAAATATAATTTATATATTAACAAATTACTTCAAAAGATCTAAAAAAGGTGAAAAAGAATTCTATTTTATCAAATGATAAATGAAAATATATAAATAAACAAAATTTATCTGGAAATCAAAATAGTAATACGAAGTGTGTTATTTTATTTTGAAACAAAAAGAGAGTTTTAAAAAAGAGTTAAGCTTTACCGCCCCAAATGTGATCCCAATTTTCACATTACCCTTTTTTTACCGTATCTAATTTGAATTAAATACGTTTAATATTTCAAAATAGAATATCTCTTATTTTATATACGGAGTAATAAAATACTCCGTATAATTGCAAAAAACTATAAAATGATAAAAATTCAAATCGTGACTATTTTACCATGCCAACAACATAAGAAGACTAATTATGATATGTAGCTTCAATATTTTAATTTTATTTTATAAGATTTGTTTACAGTCTTTCATTAACACAAAATGTTGGCGACAGAAGAAGGAAGTCATATCGAAGAAGGAAACTGAATCCCTTTGGGATTCGATTTAGTATCTTTCCTAGTTTGTTTATTTCTTGTTTTAGTAGGAATAGAAATATGGTAGGAATAGAAGTTTACTTATATGCTTTATTCTCTTCCTATATAAATGGGGTTAGATCTTTGTATTCACAGAACAATTCAATATACAGAATATTTTCTCCCTTATTAATTTCTACATGGTATCGGAGCAAGTTTTGAATTCTTGAGACCTCAAACACGCTTATTCCCCTGCCGGTGGGCATACACAATTCAATGCCTACCGGTGGGATGTTGTAATTTTTGATTTTCTTTGACTGTTCTCCCTCACTAAAGAATATCATGAATTCCTTCAACGAAGAACATTGCTGTCGAGGAATCCCGCCCAACCATCAATCTTGAAGAAGTTGTCCGACAAGGGTTGTTCTACAGAGACAGACAACTCTTTCCTTAGCAGGGAAAAAAAAAAGTCGGCGTTCAGGGTGTTCGAAAAGAATGGCGTTCCCCCTGTTTGTTCGAATACGGTGAAGGTTCGAAAAGAATG